GCACGAAAATGGCCAAGAGGCACAACCTGTCCAAAAGACGTCGGACCAACCTCAAGAACAAGTCTGTTGAGGAGCGCCTACCAAAGAGCCAGCGCTTCCACCGACTGTTTCGCAAGCTCCTGCAAGAGCCGGTACGGTACAGGGCGCCCGATGAGTCGGACGCATCGGCGATTACGACGGTTGCAGAGAGGGAGTCCAGAGTTCCCAAGTATGGCCAATTCCAGCCTGGGAGCGTTGGAATGTGGATCAAGTGCCTTTGGCATTCGTAAACGGTCTGCTCGATACGTGGGAGGAGCGAGGTGCGAAGCGTGTCGCCATCTCACAGCCCTTTCCTGGCCTAGACAAAAGGCAGTGCACCATGCAAGTCATCCTTGGTCCGGGTGAGAAGACCTTGCGAATTTCGGTATTTTCCGAGGCACGGGGAAGCGGATCTCGCCGGTGCAGAAAGCCGCGTACCACAAGGACGTGGACGTGTTATTCCAGGAGAATGCTTGGGCCGACCAAAAGTTCTGTGTGAAGTGGGCTAAGAAGTCCTATCGCGAAGGCTGATGCGCGGGCGGGGTGCGCTTCCCAGGACGAGGTCCATTCTTATCATGGACAACTTGCACGCGCAGACGACGGACGAGTTCAAGGAGTATCTTGCGAAGGAGTGCAACACTCTCGCCTGGTATGGCCCTTCGGAGTGCACGGACGAGGTGCAGCCAGTTGATGCAGGAGCCGGACTTTTTCTCAAGGTGGAAGCTGGGAGGCGGATGGACATGTGGCTCGAGCAGTCGGACAACCTCGAGAGGTGGGAAACCGCGGCGCTGACAGCTTCTGATCGGCGGGTACTGATCACTCAGTGGATTGGAGCGGCCATGGCAAGACTCAGCAGCCAGCAGGCATTCCGATTCCGCCTTTTCGAAAAGTGCGGGATGGCCATGACTGTGGACGGCTCAGGCGATGATCGGATCACCTTGGAGGGTCTAGACAAGCCGTACACCTTCGCAAACAATGAAGACTGTAGCGAGGACGAAGAAGGTTTGGAGAACGGCAGCGATGAGCCTGAGGGGCGGGGGAAGGAAGGTGATGGACGTGAGACGGTCGTGGAGGGCGCTGATTCCAGCGATGATGAAGACGACGGCGGTAAGTTTGATTTGCACTTGACCCAATCTTTGTCATTTCCTTGTTGATGACGATGTCCATGTTGATATTTGCTTGGATTTTGCTGATGTATGTGCTGTTTCCGCGTTCACGACTACGAGCAAATATGATGGATTCATGTTGAGTTTCGGCCGTGACACCGTAGTTCTTGTGGTGTTTCACGGTGCCCCGTTCGCAGGAACGTCTCAAACCCAGACCGATGAGCTAGCTCTTCTCGACGACGACGACAGCATGGACCCACAAGACCCGGAGGACGAGACACAACGAATGGAGATCCCGACAGGCTTTCGCATTCAAGAAGTTAAACCCGTTGCTCCTGACAGATTGCTTTTGCAACGTGAAGTGCTCGTTAGGCTAGGGATGGGGTGGTTTGGAGGGTCGATCATTCAGCAATCTCAGCAGGACAATCGCCACCTTTACGACTACTGTGTGCAGCTGGAGATAGACCAGAGTACGCGCAAGATGAAGCTGCCCTTAGACAACTACACCGGGGATCTGGATGCGGCGGTAGGCTCTTGGGTTTTGCTTGAGAGCGTTAGTAGATCGGGGAGGGTACGCAGGACCAACGTCACCCTTGTGGACCAAGACGGTTGACAGTTTCTGCGCATGTCTTGGTGTGTTTTTGTACCAAACAACAGCATTGTTCCTCATGCTAAACACTATAAGCACTCCGCCGAGTGCAGTTGACAGCCGTCAACAAAGTACGTCGTCTTACAACGTACGCCAACAGGGAGGGCCAATTGGTGTTGAAATAAGAACAAGAACACTTCGCTGGAGAAGAATGGGACGGCGAAATAAGAACATGGCCAATAAGAACTGAGCCTCGCTCAAAATAGGAGTCTTGAGTGCGGGCCTCAACTGTGTAGTCTAGGGCTTTCAGGTGCCGGGCAAAATTTTGAATTTGCATTTCCTTTCCGTGGAAATGTAGGTCGCGCGGCATTATCTTTGCATATGTATGCTTCGGAGTATAGACTATGTTGTATGCATGGATAGCTGAGTCTGTGGGGGGCAAGCATGACTTTGAGAGTATGCCTGATGGTTCGGTGACTGGTTTATACTGATGGTGTTGTGGGCGGGGGTGGGTTGAGATCCCCGAGTTCCACTCTTCTCCCCCCCCCTGTTCAAGCCCCTCATCGGTGTTTGCCATCGGCCATCATTGCCATCATTGGGTTTTCGTCGCTTGGCAACGACGTTGTAAAACAAACCAATTTACTTCGTGAGCTCGGCAACCAGGTTACCGTTTTTTGTTTTTACTCTGTTGTTTTTTTGGCAGTGACCATAATGGTGGTCAAGTGGATCATGTTGATCGGGGTAGAGAAGCCTCACTCCGCGCAAGGGGGATGATGGCACCACGTTGTGTTAAATTGTTCAAGCACCCTCGAGGCAGTTACACAGCAGTGCTTACAACTTGCTCTGAAAGTGAACACCATATAAAAAATTATGTCACACGCGCTGTCATGCGTACGCAAGGAAGTAATAAGTACGTACAAGATGCCGAACACCGTTGTTAGCAGGATGCAGCGCACCCTTCCTGCGACTCGCCGAATATCTCACGGCGCTTCGCTCTTGGTGATGTGAGAGCCTGATCAGTGAGAACCCGGCGTGCTCCGGCTCTGTAGGGATTCGAGGTCAATGGTCTAACGACTACAGCATGCACGATTATGAGTATACCCCTGTTCAAGCGTGGGGGGGTACGACCAATCAATGCAATTTCGAAAGCGACGAACAAAGAACAAACTTCGGCTCAGCGACCATGGGTAGGGCAACCCGGGAACGAGTTATATTTATTTCGCGCTTCGCGCGAAATNGACTCGCCGAATATCTCACGGCGCTTCGCTCTTGGTGATGTGAGAGCCTGATCAGTGAGAACCCGGCGTGCTCCGGCTCTGTAGGGATTCGAGGTCAATGGTCTAACGACTACAGCATGCACGATTATGAGTATACCCCTGTTCAAGCGTGGGGGGGTACGACCAATCAATGCAATTTCGAAAGCGACGAACAAAGAACAAACTTCGGCTCAGCGACCATGGGTAGGGCAACCCGGGAACGAGTTATATTTATTTCGCGCTTCGCGCGAAATAAATACGAAGAGGCGTATTCGAATGACGCGTCCTTTCATTGTCTTAAAGTTTGACAGAAGGAATCCATGTGTGGTTATTCAGTGCTCAAGGTTGAGGGTTCAATCCCCATCAGCTTTGCAAACATCGGGGCACGCCAGCTGGGAAAAAAACCCACCACTACCGTAGATATCGGAGATGCCTGTCTGGCGGCACCCGCTCCTGTGTGTGTTGAGGTTGCTGGTTGACTGCTGTTGCAGTCACTGCTCTAGTTGTTGCTTGGTCGAGGGGGAATGGAGGGGGCTTCAAGGCTCGGGAGATCCAGCGAGACAGGAGGAGAAAGAAACTGGCGAACTCGCCGGGGCCAAAGTGAGAAATATGATCGAATCCCCCGCGACTATATTCAAACGCTTGATCATCGGCGTTCAAATCTACCACGTTCCAACCGCCACGACCTCTAGCTCTTTTACGGGTTTGCCTGTGGCGACGACGATTGCCGAATGCAGCGTTTGGTCCCCGTTAACTCAGCAAGTTGTTGTCAACATGGTACGGCTGAAGCAGCCGAAAGGCCAACTTTTGTGTTAAGATGATAGTACTGTACCCAAGTACCCACGATGCTGCTGCTGCTGTAGCAGCATTTCATCACTAGAATTTCCCCCGCTCAGTTTGAGATGTCTAACACAACCGGCATCCTTGCAACGGCGCAGATAACCACCACCTGCGCGAGCAAACTGCATGTACATGTATGAGGGTAGGAGGGTACGGCGTCCTGGCTTCGTTTTCCTCTCCGGAATGCTTGCGTGCTTGGGTACATAGTATTGCCCTGTCCCAAAAGTGTCCGTTGCCTCATATTCAAATCGAACACTCTACACCTAATATCGGCACGCCCGTTTCTTCGTTTCTTCCCGTTACCGCTAGCAGCGGACCTAGTACCTCGATACGGCGGTGTCTTTATTATAACCATCCGCCGTGCACGCATTACCTACGTTGGTGGGCGATGCTCATTCCAACAGGGAAGCCAGGGTTGATTCCAGATTGCGGACAACCGCTCCACGTACATACAAAATTGAAGATGTTCTCTGTCCAATTGTACACATGGTTTGGTTTACGTTGAGCATCTTCATTCGCACTAGGCTCAGGCTGCACACACTGCCCCCGGAAGGCGAGCGCGGCCCTAGACGTATGCATGCAGGCGAACTACCCACAAAAGACGCGACGTGTACCATTGATGCCTTTGGTTCGTCTTTGATACGACCACATGTACAGGCGAAGAACGATCCCCGTACCACTTGGTATGCATACTAGTTTTCTTGTTCAAGTGGATTTGACGGAAGCAGCGGACACGGAAACGAAGCAGCAACACGGGCACCAACATCGAGTTGTCCTCCTCGTCCTCGTCCTCCTTTGTCTGCCCTTGAAACTCAAGCAGGCGAATCCCCGTCCCCGCTATCGGGGGTTAGCGACGCCGGCATCGGCGGCGGCGGCGGCGGCGGCGGCGGCGGCAGCGGCGGCAGCGGCGACTTTTCCCCCCTTTCCCTCTCCCTCTCCCTCTCCGACAGCGGTGGCGCCGGCGGCGAGCCTGGTAACCGCCACGGCGACGGGCGTTGGGGGGGGCATGGTCTCGGCGCGGACGTTGGGGGGGGTGAGAGGGGGCGACACGGAGGTGGTGTTGGGAATGATGACAACGAGGGGGGAAGGGGCGGTGATATCTATAACTTCGACGCCACAGGCGGGTCGAGCAGGTGGGTGGGTGGGTGGGTGCGTGGGTGCGTTTTGTCTTTCGCGGGGGGGCGTGGAGGCATGGGGTACAACGCGTTGGAGGAATTCCCTGTGTGGGTTGATGTGCACTCCCGCCACTGGCTGCTCCCTAGATCTTCTTATATGCTTCGGCATCGTCCTGCTGGTGCTCCAATTCCATTCCCCGCAACATCGTTTGTTGTTCTGTGCTGCTTCTTTTCTATTTTGTTCTACTTTGGCGTTTGTATCCTTCGTCCTTTTGACACAAAGGACAAATCACGAGCAAAGCTATTAAGCTCACTTACGTCCTACCGATCGCCGTGAAACAAACATGCACAAGTCGCCTGTGCCCTACCGATCACAAGGGACATACATATGTACAGTTCACAAGAGCTGGCTTAATCTGTAGGAATCTGTTATTTGTGTGCCTCCTTTTCCTTCGTGACCTTAACGCACTATCTTGTTGCCCTTTTTCGGGCCGGGGCTACACAACCGTGTGCGCCGTGGGCAGGCTTACGCGATCTGCGAAAGCCAAGAAGAGGCGGGGCAAGAAGAAGGAGAGCAAGCTTGCGCCCGAGGCAAAGGCGACGCTCACCACGGAGCAACGAGTGGCGGAAATCCTGGCCAGGTAGATAAAATAGCACTCTTACGTGTACCCTTCATCACGCAGAAGTCAGAGTATTTGGGGAGGCGTATGTGCTGAGGGGAAACGGCCGCCAGGAGTTGCACGTTTGCACCGCATTTTGAGGTTGTCTCCTGCGGGAGGAAGAAGAGGGACAGGGGGGGAATGACGCAAGCGCATTTTTGGGGGGGCGTATTCTCTTTTGTTTTCTGGGTTAGGACGCGTAATTTTTCAGGACGTTTTTTTTTTCTTCTTGTTTCGGGCAATATTTGGGTACGCGCGAAACAGAGTCGGACGAGATATTTCTTGCTGTACGTGGATCGCTCGGTTGTCGAACGGCATGTTCGAAGGGCACACTCAAACAGAAATGTTCGGCTCGATCGGCCCCTCCCTACACCCGCGGCCAAAACTGCTGCTGCTGTGCTTGATGTTATCCCTTCCACTCCGATTGTCGGCGAAAAACTGACGTCCAACAACCCACGCAGGACAAGATCTCCCGCTGCCATCGCGACTGCGCCGACGGCTGGCGGCGGTGGCGGCGGCGACAGAGGCGGCAGCGAAGACCGGCCTTGGACGGGCGGAGAAGGAACGGGGACTTTCAGCGACTTCGCCAAGTCTTTGCGAGATCTACGGCAGACCGGGGAACTGGACTTGAGCTCGGAGGTGTGCGTTGACCGTACACCCGAGGCAGTCGTGTCTGTTTTGCTATGTTTTTTTGGGGGGGAGGGGTGGTCAGCAGCGCAGCGGTACAAGTAGCTTCCCATCCGAGAACGCGTAGGGTGCTTGTGTGGCCGGCTGCCTGCCTGCCTGCCTTGCTGATGAAGACTTATTTCTTCCTTTTGCTTCCGGCCGTTGGACTGTATCATTCCGATGCCCCCGCTCCCGGCGTGCCGCGCCGTAGGTTTTATTTACTTACACGGCACTACTCTCGCTACCTCTCTATCTATCGATCTATCGATCTCTCTCTCTTGTCAAGTCTCATTTTTGTACAATACCGCAGCTGCTGCCCTGGCGTTCTCTCGAAAGCCGTTGTGCTGCCGACCTCGAGTCATTAATCCGGGGTGTTGCCTGTAGCTTCGTTCTGTGCACGGGATGTCCGTCCGCTCTGCCTTGCAGTTCCATTACCACCTATGTACTACCTTATCCCCAACCGTCTCCTACCTCCTCTTGCCCCGCCCCCCCCCGGGTCCTCGCTCATCGGTACCTTGTCGTACGTAGGGTGCGGCGGGCAGGAGCGGGCGCGGCTCGTCGGAATCGCCACGCCCGAACCTAAGGCCGCCGCCGCCGGAACGCCCGTCCCCCCAACAACACCGCAACGACGATGACGAGAGCAGCGGGCCGCTGGATCTGTCCGGATCCCTGGTGATCGGCGAGGCCGACATGGAGGTGGGTGGGTACGCCCGCGCTCGTAAGGCGGAGGAGGAGGAGCAGGAGGGGGAGGTACGACAACGGAGAGAAGGGGACGGCCGTGGTGGAGGTGGGGTCGGAGGGAGGGAAGAGAGCGAGCCGGCGGCGGTACCGGCTGCAAACAAAGCGCCTGAGGAGGAGGAGGAGGAGGAGGGGGGTCGAACCGATGATGGTCAGGGCTTGCCGCGATCAGGGGCGGGGAGCGAGGAAACGGGTTACGACGACGAAGGTTTCGAGGAGCCGCCACCGGAGGAAGAAGCGGGGGAAGAGCACGGCGGGGAAAAGCAACAGCCACCAGGACACAAAGAACCAGAGCAGCGATCTGCTGCAGGAGTCCCCGTTCCCGCCGACGTATTCCCAGGCGGTGGTAGCGTTCGTGGCCGAACGGCCAGCCCTCTTTCCGGACCGAACCTTGCAGCCTTGACCACCGTGACCGGCGGCGGCGGTGGCGGCGGAGCAGCAGCAGCAGCAGCACCGGCCAGCCCAGGTGCCCGGAGCACCGCTAGCCTTCCGCCTGCGCCGCCCGCGTCGCCGCCCCCGGCCGTCGCTTCGCCGGATCGCCGCCGGAGGGCCGAGGCAGGAGGAGGGCCTTCGGCGACGGTCGTGGGAACAACGCCCCTAGAGTCAGAGGCCTTCAGCGAGGAGCAGGAAGAGGCGCGGCGGCGCCGGGCTGCGCCCCAGCAGCAGCCCCCTCCTCCGTCGCCGCCTCCACCTCCCCCGCCGTCGCACTTACCGGAGGAAGAGCGAACGAGCGACGGCGCGTGGTATTCCAGCGGCGGCGCGGGAGGCAGCAGCAGCAGCGGCGGAGGCGGCGGCGGCGGCGGTGGGCGGAAGAAGGCGGAGACGGCCTCTTGGGGAAGGGGGCAGGGGGCGACGCATGATCGTGATCGGCCCGGGGCGGCGGTCGCGACGACAACAGCAACGGCGATGACCCTTGCGCGGGACGTGACCCCGTCGTTCCTCCGATACCCTTCCGCCGGCCGCGGCCGGGCGGCCCGCGGACCCAGCTCCGGCGGCGGCGGTGGCGGCGGCGGCGGCGGCTGTGCAGAGCCGTCGACGGTTGCTGCGCCCTCCGTACGGGTAAGCGACAACCGCCGGCCACGGCCTTCGACGGACGGTGGTGGTCTCGATGGCGGTGTCGGACGGCACCCCGAGGGGGGACACGACCACGACCGTCCCGCCGCCTCCGCCGCCGCCTCCGCCGCCGCCGCCGCCGCGGGTGATCTTCTTCTCCCCGGCAGGAGGCGGATAGCGGACAGCCCCGTCACGTCCAGCGGGCTCTGGGACGTGCCCACGGCGGCTCCGTCGCTCGCGGAGCTAGAGTACCAGCTCCGAAAGCTGAGCCCGCTCCGCGGCATGGCGGCCGGGGCAAGCAAGGCCCGCGGCGCCGGCGGCGCCGGCCGTGGCAGCAGGTCTCCCGCTCTTCAGAGCAGGCGCGGCGGCGCTCGCGGAATCGGTGGTACCGGCGGCGGCAGTGGTACCCGCTCCAGGCGTTCCGAACAAAGGGGCGGGGGGTTCGAGGGGGCAAGCGCCGGTGGTGTCTCGAGCAAAACAGGTCGCAGCCAATTCCGGGACAGGGAGGGAAGCAGAAGAGGGGGGGTCGGGCGCGGTGGAGAGATGGGGGGGGCGGGGCATGGCGAAGCGGAGCAGAGCCCTGCAGGTGAGATCCGTGATCGAGATTTACCCTGTGCTGGCCGGAAAGAAGCGTGTACTCTTCTGTCTTAAGAAAGGGCGAGGGGTGTGTGCGGGGGTAATCGTGAAGACGGCGACCGTGGTGGCCGGTACCATAGGCGTATCGCATGCCTACAACGCCAACGCACAGCTGTTCGAGGGGGTGTACTC